TACCAAGAGGACGTTCGAATCAAGTGTCTGGATCGCCCGATTGATGACTATAAATACCTTACTTTTTACCTTTTAAAAAGTGTGAATTTTAGAGCATTAAAGAAAGTTACTTATTAATCTCATCTACCTTATTTCTCAATTTTTAAGAGGTCAAAATATTTTTTGTTGAAAAAGGTTTTGAGTAAGTAACTTTGTAAAATCTTATATTTTGATAAAAAATTTTTGCACAATACTTGAGCTATATTCTTTGTGATCTATTGAGGTGTTGTGCCTACTTCTCTCTTAATACTTCGTTGTATTTATATCATTTGTTAAGAGAGAAGCTTTTCAAGTGTAATCTTGATTCTCTTGCTTATTGACTTATGGGTCGTGTTGAGGTCCCAGAAAGCTCAACGTTTAAAAGGATCAGTGCTCCTTAGTTGTAAGTCACCGGAATCATTGTAAGGGTTGGATTGCACCACAAGTCAATCAAAGATAGTGAAAAAGGCCTTGCTCGTGACGGAGAGCTTGGTAACGGGGGACGTAGATCGTGATTGAATCGAATCTCCTTATTACATCGTTTGCACTCTCTTTTCTTTCCCTTTTATTATATTTGTGTTATCTTGTTTATTCATTGTTATTTTGCTTATATTTGCATTTATTTTCGAAAAAGTGGTAAATAACCAATTCATCCCCCTCTTGGTTAGTTGTTCTTGAGCTTTCAGATAAAGCATTTACTTTATCTCTCTCTTTAAACTTTTTTGCTTACCATTTTCTTTATAACAATATTTTATAAATTGTCTCGTATTTTCACGGCCATATCATTTCTTAACCTTGTTCCTAGATTTTGACTTAGACTTATCCTTACTCTTCTTTTATCTCCATTACTATTTGACTTGCCATTACTTTTTTATCCATCATGACTATTTTGCTTAATTTGAGTACAATCCGTCATCATGTGAATCTCATAGGCTTTCTTTATCATATTTTTCAACTTTAACTTTCTTCTCTTTATTTCTAAGAGAATCAATGACAATTTCAGGCATCAAGGTGTCCATACTGTACTTAATCTCATTTTTAACTTCTTTATAAGTGTTAGACATGGAATTAAGCAAAATTACAATTTTGTAGTTTTCGGGCATCATCTCTTCACAGTCAATAATATCTTAAACAAGTTTGTTAAATGCGCCTAAATAATCGTCAAGATCCTTTGAAAGATCTATTTTAAAATTGAAAAAACTTCAAGTAAGTAAAGTTTATTAGGAATAGATTTGAGCAAATAAAAGTCTTCCAATTTTTTTCAAAGTTTTTTAATACTTTTAAGTTTACTTATTTTTCTCAAAATAGAGTTAGACAAGTACAAAATGATTGAAGCGTAAGCAAGTTCATCGGCTTCTTATTTTTTGTTCTTTTGAAAAATCAGTAGAAAAAAATACTTCCAATGACTTTTGAAACTTTTTGTTGGACCAAAATATATTTCATCTTTTGTTGCCATATTAAAAAATTATATTTTCCACTAAAAATTTTCAAATCAAAATTGTGAGTTGTCATTTTTTACAAATCAATAAAAAATGTAAAGAATCACAATTAAGCTATACAAAGTAGTCATAGGGTTGTAGACAATATACAATGTTCTAGATTTCCAAATTTTCATGAAATTCGTGATCTCAGTATTAAGATAATGTTCAAACGAGTAAGATATAGGTATTCTAATAGAATTTGACGATGCAACAAGTTGCTATACCAACCAAACAGTTTCACACAGTACAAAAGCAAGTAATTCCTAAATTATAGCACAAGCAATGGTTACACAACACAGCAATCTCAATCATATCGTTACTCTACACGATAACGCGCTAATATTGAAATTTAAATAGGATAAGCTAATTTACGAGAGCAGACTACATCTGAAGGTCTATAAATATCGAAAGACGCAAATTTGTTGTTTTAGTGCCACTACCATTCGCCCTAAAGTTTTTGCAAATGCAGCAGCACGATCAACTAATAATTGCAAGCCAGGTGTCTAGGGCAAAATTGTCTAGATCCAACGTATAACTTGAAACAAGAAAGTAACAATATCAAAACGTTCATAATGATAAAACAAACATGTTTGAAGAACACATTTTCAAAAAGTGTAAGACGCACAGCCATAAACCGCAGTCGTCGTAGAGCCTACGCGTAGTTGCCTTCGATCACCATCGCCTTCACGAGTCACACTCCTAGTGGCGTGTCCACTTGTGCAACATAGTTTCAGCCTCTGCTTTACTAAAAGCCTTTTCGTTTGGCAGAAAATCGAGATTGCAGGTTCGATCAGTTAGGGAAAAACTTGATCCAACCAATTTTTGAATCGGTATTGATTGGACATTTGGCCTAAGAATCACACCATCGGCTCTGATACCAAAATATAGCAGAAGATTTGATCACTAATGGCGTTTTTCGAGCTCAATATCATTCCAACAATCAACACCTTAAAAAATCGACCCAAATCCTATAATTATTCCCAACTATTTAGTATTACCCACAAAGCACACAAGGTAAGGGAGTTATTACAGTTACAAAGGCAGCCACGAAGGCAGAGAAACAGATGAAGAAGGCACGATAAATGAAGCACAAAGCCAAGTGCCTTTTTTCATATTGGAATTTCTAGAGAACCTAAGACCTGTTTGATTGCAAAGGTGGAAAATAAAAATCAATTCCATGTAAGTTGGAAAAAAAAATCACCAAAACCATAAGAATTCAATTTTCATGGAATTGGTCAAAAACATCCCTAAAATGTTTGTACTTTGGAATTCGAATTCGAATTCTATTTTTGTATTAAACAGCCAAAGTGAAAAATGAATTCCTCGAGTGTGACATTTTTCATGGAATTGAGTGTCATCAAATGAACCCTTAGTATTTAGACTTATAGGCTCAAAATCCACTAAAACCTTTTCAATTAGGAAATTCTTAAAAATTCATAGGTTATTGATAACACCATATTTTAATGACATTTATTAAAATCTTTATTATGAATATCTAAATTTTAATCTTAATTATTTAGACTTTGTTTGGCCTCCATTTTAATTTTAATACATTTTTTTTTCAACCACACATTTTTCAATAAAAAATATTACACATAAATCTAATTTTTTTAATTAAACATTCTCCAAAAAATAAATATTCCAAAATATACTTTTTCCTAAAATGTCATTAAATGGAGAAAGGCTCAGATTCATTGATATATATATTTTTAAAGAATAATACTATTTGCAATTGCTCATTACTGCAGTAGTCTCACGTAGTATATATGTGACAGTTAGTGATTTGATGCATTAATATGGTATAATGCATAAAATCACTAATCACCACTTGTATGATATATAGGATGATTATGACAGTGAACAACTGCAAATAACATTACTCTTAAATTTATTAAGGGTCCATTTGATTGTAAAGATAAAATTTGGGTGGAAAGAAAATGAATTCCAGGAAATTGAATTACCTAGAAATTGTTTTCCGGGGAATTGTAAATTATTGTATTTGATTGATATAATTTTTCACGTGAAAAATATTGGAATAAAATTGTTTTTTGATGTTCGTTTGACTTTGTTTTACATGAAATTTGTCAATTAAAGGGATTGAATTTATTAGTATTGAGGATGAAATTTTTTTTCCATTGCCAAAACCAAAAGAAAAAAAATATATTTTTTGAAGAAAATCTTCTATCTTTTGATATTCGTTTGACTTTGTTTTATATAAAAATTGTCAATTAAAGAAAAATATTTTTTTACAATAATTCTTAGAATTTATTTTTATTGAAAAAATAAAAAATAAAAATCAATAGTAACCGAGAAAATCAACACCCATCATATTGGTGGGAATTGATTTTTCTATAAAAGCAAGAAAAATGTAATTCCCAAGAAATTCAACAATTCCTATTCCATCGAAAATAAATCCCTATCAAACACATCAAAGTTGAAAAATGTCATCCAAATTCCATTTCACGTGGAAATGTTTTGTCAATCAAACGGTGCCTCAAATTTAAGTAAAAAAAGTCGTGTTTGTATTTACCCCTTAGGATCAAAGTTAATTTATAAATATTTTATATACTGTTGCGTGGGACAGATTTGGCAGCGGCGGCGGCGGCGGCTTTTGATATCAGCCTAACTCTTTGCCACTTGTTTGTACCTCAATTCTCCATTGACATTTGACCCATTCTAAGTCTACGTTGGTACCCCATTTCTCTTATTCTTGACTTTTCTTACGCCAAATTCGGGCACAAAGACTCCTAGTCAACCGTTACACGTGTCACGTAAGACTTTTCAATTAATTAATTTTATTTCCATAACCAAGCAAAGTGTTCCATTTTACAACCAAATTAAAAACAGCTATTTATTTCATTGCATTCCATCGACTCGTTTTGTATTGTACTATGTTAGATTATATAAATTTATTGAGTGAAAGAATATCGACCCATTATATTGTGTCAAAGCAATTAAATTTGTTGAGTGAGAGTCGTCACTCAACAGAAAAAATTATTTTAAAAATAACATGCTAATATTTTCTAAAAGCTCAAATTGACCAAAAAATTCGGCACTTTGATGTCAACTCTTCACACCTAAAAGTTGGGAATTGTAGACTGTTCCAAAGGTTATCGAGCAGAATTGAAAACCAATTTAATCAGAACTCACAAAAGCATCATACCGCACTAAGTCGTCGAACAAGTTCCACATTATTCCGGCTTCCGCTTTCTTAATTAGAATTTATCATAACAAATTACGATCATGTTTAATTAATAAGTTATTGGTTGGTTTTGATTATTTGAGAATCATTTCTTTTATGTTCTTTTTCAACTATATGTTCAAAAAATCACACCATTTATTGCATTTAAAACTCTCATACCCATATTTGACTATGGTTAAAGAGTTACTTATTTTACGAAACACCATTAATTTTAACTTTTGAGAAACAGTCACTTCTAGTCAGGTCAAAATCCAACGTAAATGCCGGGAAGGAAAAGTATTTAACACAGAAAAACTTAGTCCTTCGTTTCTTTCCACCGTCTGTTATAAGTCACAATTTTTGGCTCAATCTTCACGATTTTTCACTGAAAATTTTCTTTCTGTAACTAAGTTTTATAGCATAAACTCTACAGAAATTCATGCATTTTGTTAAGGCTTAAAAAGCTGAAAACCCCACGTTTTTCTTCCTAAGAATTATAACCGGAAGCAATTTTTAATCTTTTTTTGGCGATTCCCGGCTTGATATACTCTAAATTTATCAAGAATTTTCTGGGTTTTCCCTACTGAATCCCGGTAATCTTTCTTCTCTGTATTTGTGTATTAAATTCATATTCATATTTGTGTTGATTAATCAATGATAGTTTGTGATCATACGGTTAAGCCGAAGTTGAATGAACACTTGTGAACAATTACTTATTGATTTTGTATTTTCTGTCTTAATGTAAAAGTTAATGTATTCTGAAGTTATTGAATTGTTCTTTTATCTTTGAATTTAAGGTATCACAGTTGTTTGTTTGCAATTGACTTGAAAATTGTTTAGATTATTTTTTGTTTTCTATTTAATGGATACTACAATTGAATTCTGGCGATTAATTTGTTTATTTAGAGGGAAGTGAATTGGGTTTTACTTAAAGTTGTGATCTTTGTATAGGAGTGCACTTGTCAAAAATTAGCATGTGATTGGTTGCTTGTGGAAGTCAATGTGGGATAGAAGCACATGTGTGTTTTTTTCTGGTGATCGATTTAAGCTGTAACATTAGTTCACGGGATTCATCGAGTAAGATTCAGTAAGAACAATTTAGTTTCTGGGAAAATTTTAGCTGCATCTATTTGATAGTTTTGTTCCTTGCTAATTGCGATATCGACTTTGTGCATTTGTGGTTCAGTACTGGTGTCTTAGTTGGACCTCATAGGAAGTCCCAACTTTTTGAATTGTCAAGGCAAAGAGAGCTATCATTTGATATATAGTGAATTGTCCGTGTTTAGTACACATGACTCTCTCGGTTTCTGTATTTTACATAGTTTTGATCCATTCATTTTTGGGTTTTCCTCTTATATGTATCTTCGCTTTCTTTTGCAGTGTGGTTGCTCGAAGCTTAATTGTGCAGAGTAGCCACTAAAGTTATTGGTGATTAAAGTATAGAATCAGAAACGATGTCTAAAAAGGGAAATTTTGGACACAGGTTTGGACTCTTTTGTTCTATATATGTGGTTTGACTGGCCAAAAGTATTGAATATGTATGAGACTGCTTTGTTTAACCTTCACTTTCTGTTTTATCAGTGCCAAACCAAATCAAAATATGAGAATAATTATTATCTTATTTGTTGGAATGATCGTCGGTTTCTTTCTCGGAGTGTCATTTCCTTCATTTTCATTGACAAAGGTATAGAATCTACAACTTCCACGTATTTGTATGGCTTTTGTTTATATATCTAACAAGTTCTATGATGCTGGCAGCTGAATATCACATCCTATCTTATTCGCGATTTTGCAATCAATGGGAACAACACTACGGATCGGTCAACCCAAAAGAGTATAGAAAACAACTCTACCAGAAATCAAAATGTTAAAGATATATCAAAGGTATGTATTTTTCTTGTTAATTGCACAAAATCAGGAAGTCAAGGCACTGTCTAGACTTTATATTTTACAGAATCGAAGATGTTATTTCATTATAAATGAAGGAAACTGTATATTCGTAATCTAGTTAGAACAATGCATTATTCGAGCCCTTCTCATTTCTCCAATATTTATACTTGTAAGCTAATGACTTCGGGAGTAAAATTAAATCTATTCTTTAATACCCCAAAACGTTTCTGATTCAGATTTGGGTTCCATCAAATCCAAAAGGTGCAGAGAGGTTGCCTGCAGGAATTCTTGCGTCTGAATCGGACTTTTATACCCGTAGATTGTGGGGTTTACCCAATGAGGTGAGAGATCTGTTAATATTATGGTTTCATATGCATTCTCTTCTGTTTTTCTGTTAATTGAATCTACACTTTGACTCCCGAGCGATAGCAGTAGTCAAGGTAGTTCTTTATTGTTACAAACGACTTTTTAAGGCTGATAGTATATTAGTGAAAACAAATCCTATCACTTTCTTCATAAGCTATTTCATTGGCTTGATGGTTGGGGCTTTTGGAAGGTATCCAGGAGCCATTTCAATTGCCTAACGTGTCAGATGCAGAAATTTTGCTGTGTTTAATGTTTAGAGACTAGATGGCTGTATTATGATGATTGAAGTGTAGAACTAGCATTACTAGCATGTAAAAAGTACAAGGATTTTAAACATCTCACGGGTTATTATTAGTTGAGGAAACATAGTTTTTGCTATGGAAAAAATGTTGTTGGAAATGGGAAATTGTAATATTTAAAGAAAATATTGATCTCTGACAAAGTTGTGGTTGTCCAGGACTTGGCCAGCATACCAAAATATCTGGTGACATTTACTGTTGGATATAATCAGCGTAATAACATTGATGCAGCGGTGAAAAAGGTCAGTTGGTCACCCTCTTCCAACCTCGGCCCCGTGCTCTGAATCTTATTCTGTTGTTTCTACAGTTTTCAGACAACTTTACTATCCTCTTATTTCATTATGATGGACAAACAACCGAATGGGATGAGTTTGAATGGTCCAAACGAGCAATTCATGTGAGCGCAAGGAAACAGACGAAGTGGTGAGGATCTATTGAAAAAATTTCTTGATTTTCTTGATCTTGTTTCGCCAACACGCCTAAATATGCTAACATTTGAATCTTCTTGAAATTTGTAAAAGGTGGTATGCTAAAAGGTTTCTTCATCCAGACATCGTGGCCGCATATGACTACATATTTATTTGGGACGAAGACCTCGGTGTTGAGCATTTCGATGCTGAAGAGTGAGTATTCAATGAAATGATTTGGCTTTGATGGAAATCTCAATCAGCTAACTCAATGTGCTTGCTATTCTTTGCGTTTTCAATTTTACAGATACATTAAACTTGTGAAAAAGCATGGCTTAGAAATTTCTCAGCCGGGTTTGCAACCTAATAGGGGGACGACTTGGCAGATGACTAAAAGAAGAGATGGTAGTGAAGTTCACAAGTAAGGATAATAATTTTATGTCATAGCTCATGGGGTAAAAGTACTGTTGGTCACTCAAAATCAAGCAAAGTTTCATGTTGATCACTAATCTTCATTTTTTCTTACAAGTTGGTCACCTTACTTATTTACTTTTTTATTTTTTTACTCACAATGTCTGTATATGTCCGTCAATTTGACTAAAAGGTGATTTGAGAGCCTAGTAATTATTGACTAGGTTGCTGCATAAAATTTTCTTAGTCAAATAGAAAGTGGTCAGAATGACCAAATTATAACAAACTTATAAACTCATCTGAAATGAAGTTTAATTTCATTGATAAACTTGGTTGAAAACGAAGTTTTAGCGACCAATCGCTAAGATTTCAATGTAATTATTGTCTTAAACCCAAGTAGCGAACTAAAACTAAAATTTCATCCCCGTTTATGGTTGACTGTTAAATTAATTTATCTACTTTTTCTTCATAGGGAAACTACAGAGAGACCAGGCTGGTGTTCCGACCCCCATTTGCCTCCCTGTGCAGCGTACGAAACTCTCTCCCTCTACCTTTACTAGATCATTCTTTAGTTTATCCTAGTTTTCTAAATTTATTTTTTGTCTCGTTCATACACAGATTTGTGGAAATCATGGCTCCCGTCTTTTCCCGAGATGCATGGCGCTGTGTGTGGTATATGATTCAGGTTTGTAGTGAATTTTGTTATTTTTCATTCTTAACTAGTAAATCCTTAAATTGCACTATTTTTTTAGTCACTGTATGCATTTTTTTGCCTTCATTTGCATACTGTAGAATGACTTGGTACATGGTTGGGGTCTCGACTTGGCCCTCCAAAGGTGTGTTGAGGTCAGTTATGCAATATCCATTGAAGAATTCACGTTCGATTTTAGATAGTCTACCACTTCTTTAATATTTGATAATACTTGTACCGCTATTGTAGCCTGCTCATGAGAAAATTGGAGTTGTAGATTCTCAATGGGTCGTTCATCAGAGTGTTCCTTCCTTGGGGAACCAGGTAAAAGACGGAATTTGTAAAAATTTGACACTCGCGTACTATATATTTACATGTGGATCAATCAACAACTATTTCTATTCTATACTGATAGGGGCAACCAGAGGACGGGAAGGCTCCATGGAGAGGGGTATGTAGTTTCCATCATAAACTTTGCCCCCTGTAACAATGTCCAACCCTTAGCACACTTTTGTATATTGAGTTTCAAATCCATTTTCATATGCTTTTAAAAATCGCAAAAGATTCACTTCAATTAGCATCTCCGATCTCCTCCATGCTAATCTCGACCCACTGTCATTGTTGCCTCTTCTATTCATTAAATAGAATTTTTCCCCCTTTTGATCCAGGTACGATTAAGGTGTCAACGAGAGTGGAATATGTTCAAGTCTAGGATGGCTAACGCGGAAAAAGATTATTACAAGTCAATGGGAATTGATCCGTCCAATTTCACAGCTCATTGATGGATAGCATGAGATAATTCTACACAACCTATAAATTCATAGCTATTATTTTGCAAAGGGTACACACAGAACTACAAGATAATTCAATATTCTAGATGTAGATATACAATTTTTTCATAATATATTTATATCTCATGTTCAACTACAGTTCATCCTCAACTCTTTTGAGGCTGAATTTAGTTTTTACACTGAGCGCGTTAATCTTGTTTAGCCATTTTGTTCATACTGAATCCCGTCGTCATTTAAAAGTTTAAGCTCATAGATAGTGAATGTGTTTGATGTTAGCATGTTCACATTGTCTGGCATGTTCACTCTTGTGGCTACAAATGAAATGTGCAATATTTGAGGTGTTTTTTTTTTTTTTTTTAGAGTGAGATGAGTAGGTAATTAGAATTTATATTGGTATCAGAGTGGATGTATGCCAATGATGAGTAGAGTTTGGAGGAGGCGTATGTTGGTAGTATTAGCGAGGCCCACCCTGTCTAAGTAAATTTAGATGTTTGATGAACAAATTAAAAGAAAATTCATGTTCCAATCCAGTTTTAAAGCCACGAGTTACGCTCATGAACCTTTTCTTAATGAACACCCTCTCTCACGTGCAGTTTTATTTATTTATTTTTTCAAATACTTGATTCAAAGAGTAACAACAATACTTAAATTCAACATCCTTTATTATTATTATTATTATTATTATTATTATTATTATTATTATTATTATTATTATTATTATTATTATTTCATCTCATTTTGTATGTATTCCAAAATTTTGAACTTCAACGTGTCTTCTATTTCTCATTCGTCTTTCCTTTGTATAGTCATTATGGTGGGAGTCATTAGAGATGAACGACCTCTACCAAGGGTGCTAAGTGGGGGCTACAAACGAGATAAGTAGTGAGTTGCTCATTGATTTTCATGAGTTAGAGTCCATTTGACATGACTTTTGAAAAGTTAAAAGGAGATTTTGAGGTTTAAAAGCTGCTTTTGGACTCGTTTGACTAATTTTGCTGAAGTGCTTTTGGTGGTTAGAAGAGTTTTAAGAGGAAGTTAGTTCAATATAACTTCCTCTAAAAGTACTTCCGGAATATAAAATGCTTTTAAATATTAGTTTTCAAACAAAAATTAAAATAGCTTCCTTCAAAAGATCTTTTGCAAGAAATAAAAGTAAAAGTAAAAATCATGCCAAACGGGCCCTTAGAGGGCTTATAATCGGCGATTGAAATGTAATTTTACTAATAAAAAATTGACAAATCGCAAGCCAATTGGCTCTTTCCACCTAGGAACGACCTGGTGGGGGCGAATTGAGCCCACATCCTACAATTAATTGCTCAACCCACCAATTGTATTACCCACAAAGGGAGAGAATGGTGGCTGCAGTGTATCACCAAGAAGGAGAAGACACGGAGAGGTTTAGGTCACGATTTCACAAAGAAAATGAATGAAACAGGTTGCCTTCAAAACTTTTGCATAATACGCGATTTTCACCCACACAAGGATAGGTATTTATAATGTTAGGGTGAAACATAAGTTGGGCCAACCAAAGCAAAGTGGGCTAACACATAAAAGGGCTGTCCAACTAATGAATGAGTTATGAGCTACTATTAATTCATAACATTGCTTCAATGGCTCAATTTGTTTTCAGGTGGAGCCAATCAATTATAGTGTTGATAAACATTTCAGTCATCGGCCGAAGCCTATGAAATCAATCCCATTGTTAAACATCATTGCTCAGACTTATTGGGTATCAACAAGACCCAATAGGGGCTTTTCAAATTTTCCTAGTCCAGTTGAAGGGGTGCTGCCACTGCTGTGATGAGCAATATTACATCAGTGGTAGGAGTGAAGAACATGCTAAGATCTGTGTTGCAAGTAGGCGGTGTTAGTGGTGGTCAATCATGATTTTTTTGAGGAAGAGGCTATGTCAAACGATTTTAACAATTTAAGGGAAAAAAGAGTGTAGATAACGCAATATGGCTTTTTATGCTGAAACCTGGTGTATTAGTCCTGACAGAGCGTACGGTGGTAGTGGCAGAGATGGCGATTACCATATGTGGCCTATGACCGAAGTTCTAAGCTGATGAGGAAGTGAGTGAGCTTTCTTGTAAGCATTTCTTCCACAAGGATTGTGGCTTGATAATCAACAGTACTTGTCTTCTTTGCTGTTCCATTATGTAGATTCGATTGATAAGTGGACGTAGTTCTTATGTTAATGCCTTGTCCTCTATGATCGATGTGTGCTTAGTTTCGTGTAATAGAGGATTAACTCATAAGATATAGTGGAATTATACCATACATTTCGTATTTGTTATTGAATACAAAGATCAAGTAAGATTATGTTAAATTACGGCTACATGAAAGTTTTGGGATATAAATCTTTTTTTGGCAAAATATTAGTATAATTTCACTGATATGTATGTTGAACATAGTTGATGAAAAACGAAAATAAACCCAGCAACAAGAAATCGCTACTATGGAAGGTTTGAAAATGATTATTAATCATTGTTTTCAAATGATATTTGTTGCCACTGGGATAAATGCTTGAAGGCTTCAATAGCAAATAGTTTGCAGGACTAAACAAACCCTAATCCAAGTATGGATGAAGCAATCGAAATTTGGAAAAAGGAACTAAAGAACAAAATTGTAAAAAAACTGGTTTGATATTTGATTTTGGACTTTGATGAATGAATTTAATGTTTGTGATATATTTTTCAACATGAAACCACTCATATATATATATATATATATATATATATATATATATATATATATATATATATATTTCTGTTTATAATATCCCACAAAAATATGTTGTTTTAAAAAACTACCGATGGATCATTCCGGTAGGTATTCTTTATAGTTCTAAGATATGGTGCTAATAGTTAATATTAGTTCCAGATCTTGTAAATTATAGTTCCAAGATATGGTGCTAATAGTTAATATTAGTTCCAGATCTTGTAAGAACAATTACTGTCCATAAAATTTTTAATTTGTAAAAGTTTTATGATTTTTGTAAAGAATTTTATGCTTCATGCTGGGTATATGATAAGAGCATGTCTTAACTCCAAGTTAAAAGTTTAAACTGTTTTTAAAATAAGCCCTGAGTGACCTCTCAAAGCGTAAAGGCCCAGTAAAGAGGTTAGGAGACTCATAGAAGAGGGAAAGGGATCACTGTTTTAAGAATTCTTGTTAAGGGAGTGCCAGTGGTGTCCTTACAAGAATGGAGTTAGGCCCAAGTTCATATATCTCAGATGGCATGTTTTTTAAAAAAAAAAAAAAAACTTTTTAATTTTTCTGAATTACAAAAAACTTGAACTAATTCTGGTTCAGGAATAATTTCTGGGTTTTTTTTTCCTTTTTTACTTATTTCAAAAAGTTCTAATTTCTGTAAAATGTATCTTTGCATATCTTCTAAGTTTTCTATTCTTTTTCTTAATATTTTTATTTCTGATAATTCTATTTGAATTGAATCATTCTGATTATCCTCTTCAAATTCTACTAAGTCTTTTTGTATTAAGCATTTTTTACATGCTTCTAAAAAACATTCTTTACATTTAACTCTTAATTTTTTACTAGGATACCATTCACATAAAAAACATGGTATACTATCTGAACCTGTTTCTTTTATCCATTTATATTTACATTCTAATTCTATATCCATAAATTCTAATTCTTCATCTGAATCTGATAAATTTTTAATATTTGAAAATTCTTGTATAAAATTTTCATAATCTGATTGTTCTTCTAAATTACAATTATTATTATACTAAGACTATTCCATCAGAGTATTCTGAGAAGCGTGGTGGGATAATAGAAAAAGAAAAAGAATGTGAGTGCAGCAGAGAAAGAGAATGCCAATTAATAGAAAAAGAAGAATTAGAAAATTTAAATTTTTTAGAAGAATATTATGAAAATTTTAAGGAAGAAGAAGAAATGTGTTTAGATTTTGTAGAAATTGAAAAAATATATAATCTGTTAGTAACAGAACAAGACATAGAAAATATGATTAGTAGACTAGAAAAATTAGAAATTTTAGGAGAAAATATATTAAAATATTGGGAAAAAGATAAAGTTTTTTGTGAAATAAAAATAAAAAATCCAGAATATATAATAAAAACAAAAAATATTGAAGCTACAAATCAAGATCAGGAAGATTTTAAGATGCATATAAAAGATTTATTAAAATTAGGAGTAATCAAAAAATCAGAAAGTCCACATAGATCAGCAGCTTTTATAGTTAGAAAACACTCAGAAATTATTAGAGGAAAAAGTAGAATGGTAATTAATTATAAAAGATTATATATATATATATATATATAGGGGAAATGATGTAATGGGTACTAGTGCTTAGTTTATGTTAATTACTGGTGACATGACACATCAATTTTATATGATAAACTAAGTATCGGTGTCCATTAAATATACTAGTGCCCATTATATATATATATAATGGGCTAACGGTTAGATTTTTGTGCTGGGCGTTCAACAAAATGACCACTATAATTGCAACACAAGGGCTGCCCAGCCTTAGATCTGGGCAGCCTGCCAAGGCTATTTTTCGGCCTTCACTGTTTTTTGTTCTTGTTTTGTTTTCACTTATTTTTCTCATGGTTAACCACTTTCATCACTTCTAAAATCACTCGTTATTGTCACTTGAAAAATATTCCAACAATTACCCACCTGTTCAAATGTAAAATGAGTTCAAACTTAAGTTTAACGACATTTATGCATAGAATATAGATATCTTTCGATTTGAATTCAACTTTAGTATAAATCTGACAAAGTAATCATTAAAATCCTAGCTAGCATGAAAGTTTTGAACCTATTATTCGTTGTGATGATATCGGTGAAATCACATGCACAAGCATCAAGTGTTCCAAGTTCTCTAGTTTAGCGCTTTGATGGCCTTGCGTTTCTCCTATTCATAAACTTTTAAAAGAAAAACTCCAACACTCTATTGAAGTGACGCCACCTCGAAGTTTATTTAGGTAAAGTTCTTGTAGTATCTTTGTCATTTTTAGAGATAATTGATCCACCAATCTAAACTTCATTAAGAGTTATAGAAATTTAACCCTCCTATTCATGATAACCAGCATTTGAAACCTAGGATAGGATTTTAAAAGAAAAAATAAGTGCTGAATCTATCCACTTATCGAATGACTTGATATTACTCTTTGAACTCGAAGTATAACTTGTTAGTATAGTCAGGTAGGGTAGCTGCCATTGGTGATTTTTA